TTCTGTAGGCCGGGAAGTCCAGGACCACGATGCTGGCAGGTTTGCTGTGGTGGCTGATGAGGACCCACTTTCTGCTTCATACACGGCACCTTCTGGCCACATCCTCACATGGTGGAAGGCGCTAGGCAGCTGTGTGCGGTCTCTTTTCTAAGGGCACTAATACCATCCATGAGGCCTCCCCTCATGTAAGCATCTACCAAAGGCCCCCACTTCCTAATACCACCACAGTGGGCATTAGGTTTCCACATGTAAATTTGGGGGTGGAAGGGGACACACAAATATTCAGTCTCCAGTACCCAGCCCCTTGATTCGTCAAAGTCAATTCATTCTAAGACATCTAACAAGAAAGGACTCCTTTTCTTCCTCTGGATGCTACGATGAGCATAGTTCCTAAGTAGGCATCCACCTAACTCACGAACCTTGGCCCAACAGCTAAACCTCACTGCGTCTCTTTTTCCTCACCTGTAAAACACAACTAACCCTTGCAGGTTCTTATGATGATCAGACATAATGCAAGTAAAGAATCCAAAATGAAGCCTGGCAAACACTGAATGCTGAAGCTACTTGGACTATCCCACTTCCACATACAGAACAAAATGTCTTAAAGCAATGCAAATGTGTACTTATTACTTTCTGATAATCCAGATCGTACTAGTTTCTCATGCTGTAGCTTCTACTAAGATCTTATTTATCCACTTCCTTTCTCCTTCCACGGCCACACACCTCAACTACTGAGTAGCCTAGATCTGTTTTGCTTAGGTGACCATACATTTCGCTTAGTCATTACTTACCCCTAGAAACAATTAAGACGGAGAAGCACATCACTACTGTCCTACTTTACCCAGATTGTCGTAGTAAGAGACATGCCAATCATTGATTCCCAACTGATACTTTCTTCTTAAAGACAACGTCCAAACTGCAGGCTTTGAAGGAATCAAAGGCTGTGTGCCCTATACCACAACTGACCTACACTGGGTCATCAGCTTCTCTATCCGGGGAATCTGGAATTAGATCACAGAAAGGATGGTGCACACTTGAACTAAACTGAAAGAGCATGAGCAGAAGGGCCTGAATCAGCAGGAAGGCAAGGTAAGCTGACATTACAGAGAAAAAAAGTCGTGAGTAAGCAGACTGGCAAGTCTGAGGAAAAAACAGATGAGAGCGAGAGAAGATGACAGTGGGGGCCCTAGAGAAATGGATGGGATGGTCACGGTGCACACGGCCCAGCAGCACTTCCTCTATGTGGCGTGAACTCTTCTTACAAATCCTACTTTACTTCAGCTGGTTTATGTGTTTCTGCTTCCACAGGTAAAGGAGAATTCAAAGAATGGGATCGGTCTCATCAGTATCAGCATAGAAGGATTTAGTAAGGACCAGGTCTAAAAGAGCATGCAAGTTTGGGCAGAAATACCATACCATCAGCTCCTATCAAAGAAACTGCCTCCTTGCTACAGAACTACTGTCAAAAACTCAGATGCCTACGGGGAACAGGAGGTAAGAGAGGTGGGCTAGGACCACCTTAAAGTTTTTCTTTAGATCCAGACACGCTTTATTTTCATATTAAATCTGTACGAATTTTCTTCCTTTACATAAACACCCACAGTATCTGCTCTCTCCCATTTTTCCTGGTCTACTTCTTGTTTCCTGCTTTCTGTAGAGATAAGGGTACAAGACGAGACCAACTAGAGGTGATGACAAACACTAAGGGACATTCAGCCTTGCTGGCTGAGAGGTAACAGAGAGTAGAGGAGACGCGGTAAACTAGAAGGAATTTCCCACCTAAAGAGAACACTCAGTCTCACCCAAATGTTAGCATATAAGACCTTAACTTTAAATTTTCAAGAGAAGACAAAAATCTAGATTTTTATGTAAAGTTCCCAGTGTTTAAATGTTGTCTGTAAATTTAATTTTCTTCTAAAATAATGTAAATCAGTTCACCAGCTGCCAACGTGCAATCCTACTGTAGACCTCTGTGTCCTTTTCTATGTGCCTAGATTTTAGCTTCCCTAGATACGTTTATTTCACATCTGTATATGCAAAGCCTGTGGTCATACGATAGGCAGAGCACTACAAAGGATGAACCTCATTTATTCTCTACTTACATGTTATTTTAAATTCAACAAGTTATTCCTCAGAGACAACTTAAAACCAGTATTATTAATTAACAACTTATTAATAATTAATTAATTAGGTTCCAAACCATGCCATTTACTCTGAAAGAAGAGCAACGGGAACTCTTTAAAGTTAACTCCCTAGGTTGAAAAACTGTTTACAAACGCCACGCCACTCATGTAAACGCCACATCTGGCCCCTGGGTCTTTATGTCTGCTCTTCTCTCAGGCTGAAGGGCTGCCACCTCTAGGAAGCCTTCTTAGGTAGCCCCCTATCATCCCTAACTTACCCCACAGAGCTCACTGCACACAGTATCGTAATCTTAGAAAGATCTGCCCTTAACGTTTATCTCCCCAGGTGAACTGTAAATACCTGAAGGATAAGGCCTACACAGAATTTAGGATTGCAGCTCCAGAAGCTAGAGGTGACTAAACGGGCCACGAGCCAGAAGACAGAGAACACGCTCCGTTCAGTGAGTCAACCACTGCCCAAGCAGGCTACCACGTGCCTGACTCCTCACGCTCATTCTTTCACTCAGCATCAGCAGAATGGTCCACGACCGTCTCCACCTTCTCAATAAAGTTCAAAGAATGAAACACGCTAGGGATGTGTTACGTCAAACATAGATAAAAAATTATATATACATATATTTTTTCCTCTTCAGTTCATTAATTATATTATGCTGTGTGGCTTTGGGAGATCCTCTTAATTTCTCTGAGCCTTACTTAGTGTTTTCGTCCAATAAAATGCAGATAATGCCAACTTTACTAGGTTGTTGTGAGAAGGGAGTGAGGAGTTCTACTAAGTGCTAAGCACTGGTATATGTCATAGTTCATTAAAATGCTGCCAACAAATGCCTTTTAAGGAAACCAAAACTCCAAGAGTACTCCCAACTGACAGATTTCTAAATCTTGGATAGACGTGTGAAAGACAAAATAGCTCAATAACTGTACTTAATCCACATAGTCTATAGATTACCAAATAATTGCTTAGTTTTACGAAAATACAATTTCTACCAATCTCAGAGAAAAATGAACAAACATGGTATAAATTCATGCTTTGTAAAACTAATAGTTCAAGGATTGCCACGTGTATTCAGCACGGCAAAACAAAAAACTATAGATGAAAAGTTACACAAATTTTGACTCAGTATTAGAAAAAAACTCCAAAATTTCCAAGAAACTTAGAGCTACCCAACAACACAGGCAGCTTCTGTGGTGGGCAGAATGCCCTTGCCTTCCTAAGACATCCAGTCCTAAGGCCCAGAAGCTGTGAATATGTCACTTCACATGGCAAGGAGGAGTTCAGGTTAAAGCAGGAATTAAGGTTGCTAACAGTGGACCGTGAGATAGGGTGAGCATCCTGGATTATCCATGCTGGCCCGTCTAATCACAGGGTCCTTCTAACTGAAAGAGGGAGGCCTAGGAAACTCAGACAGCTTCCTCAGGATGTCATGTCCTCTCCCTCACAAATGATGTCCAAGCAGAGCCAGGAAAGTTGCTCACAGTGTGTGGGGGGGTAGGTAAAAGGTCATGATGCATCACAGAAAGATTGCCTAATTGAGTTTCTAAAGGTAAGAGTCCTTAAACTGGGTCTAAGGAAAATCCCTGAGAAGATGTAGAGCATTCAAAGATTCTCAAAAGGATCTGTTCTACAAGCAAGGTTAAGAACACTTTTCCTAGATTACTTTCAACACTGAGCGTTTACTATTCAATGATTTTCTAAGACAGTGAGTCTCAAAGTGTAGCCCATCAAACACCAACATATATCAACACTCACCTAAGGTAGTTTGTAAAATGCAGATGCCTGAGCTCCAGCCCAGACAGAATCTCTGAGAGGTGTAGGAAAGTTCAATATTTAACAAACTGGGGGGAGCAAGGACGGAATTCTATACACAGTTAAAGAACCACTGCTCCAAAAAGTATTTTATGAAACATTAAGCTGAAGATACTGAAATAAATTGTTCCCATCTCCGAATCTTTAGAAATCTCAGTTCACTCATCTTCCCGTGTGACAGTAACGTTTTTTTTTCTGAGCCTCAGGTAGCTTAGAATATGTAGGCAATGCCGACTACACCTAATTTTTTAGATTAAAATTCATTCTGTGGAGTGCCAGAATGATGATTAGCAGGTAATATGTAACACACAAAAATTGTTAGTCCTATTCCCCCACCCCACCCCTATGTAAGGGAAAATAATGCCGGCATCCTGTATCAAGTGCTATTAAATACTGGAAGCCTTGTATTAATTGGGTCAATATCATTGCTAAATGCCAACTTTCTACGATAAATTTCTTGGTATGACTCCCCTCCTAAATTTTCACTATTTCAAACGCATGTTTTGCTTAAAACATTCTCCCAGACCTATGTCTGAGATGCCACGGACGTTTAAAAACTAAGTCCTTGACTAGTCGTAGCGGGGGGCAACCCGAGTGGCCTCGAAGAAAAGATCTCCTAATAGAGACGGACCAAGACGATGAATAAGGACGGCTAAGAGTTGCTTTTGAACCTTGGCAACCTTAGGCAGCTTTTCCCCGCCCCAAAAGCTTGACAACCCTGAAGCCACCTGAGCCGTGACCGGGAAGCGGCCTACGAGAAGAGCGTTTAGGACCTCTCTGCGTGCCTCGCAAATAACCCAAATTCTAAGGCAAGGTCACAGAGCAGCCATCCCAGCAGGGGACGAGGGACGGAGTCAAGTTCCCCCAGCTCCCCAGAAAGCCCTTCGCGGCATGCACCAGGCCAAGTTCGCAGAGCCCTCCCCGAAAACAGGCCAGGGGATCAGGGAGCCCCGGGTACCTCCACGTCCCAGATGCAGGCCCTCAATCAGGAAGCCCCTGACCCTGGCCCACCCTCAGCCAGCCCGAGGAGCTGCGCGAGCCCAGCCACTCACCCTGCAGCCGCCGCGTGCTGTGAAGCCATCTCCGACTAGCTCCGCGGCCGGCGGACCACCCGGCAGCCCCCTTAAGCACCGCCGGGCCTCGGCGGCCGCCGAAGCCCAACACGCAGCGAAGCAGCCACGGCTCCCAGCCCAGCCTCCAGGGGGCCGCCATCTTCCCGGCCTTCTCGCGGGCTGCCCGCGGCGCCGCCTGATCGCGCAGTCCTCAGGCCCCCGAGCCCCGCCTCCCCCGGAGGCCACGCCCCCTGGGCGCCTCGGACCCACGAGCCCTCGTGGCCCCGCCTCCCGGCCGGGCGGCCCCGCCGCGGGATCTGCGGTCCGCGAGGCCCTACGGGCTGTCTTCCGCCGGGTCCGCCCCGCCCCCGGGCTGCCCTCCGCGCCGCCTGCGGGCCTGTGTGGTGTCGCCAGTCAGCCTCGCTGGAGGCCGGGAGCAGCGCGCGTGAGAGTAGAGGCCGCGAGTCCCCCGGTCCGGCCATGTCGGGCTGTCACGCTCCGGAGGGAGACTGCTGCTCGCGGCGAGGCGGCGCGCAGGTAGGGGCGGGCGGCGGGGGCCTGGCTTCCGAGGAGGCGGGCGCGGCTGGGGCAGCGGGGCACGGGGAGCGGCGGAGGGCGGTGGTGGTCATGGGGGAGGCAGCGGGGCACGGGGAGCGGCGGAGGCCGCTGGGGGTCACGGGGAGCGGGAGGGCGCGGGGCTGGCGGGGGGCTGCAGGGCACGGGGAGCGGCGGGGAGCGGCGGCGCGCGGGGCTGGCGGGGGGCTGCAGGACACGGGGAGCGGCGGGGAGCGGCGGCGCGCGGGGCTGGCGGGGGGCTGCAGGGCACGGGGAGCGGCGGGGCACGAGGAGCGGGGTCCAGGGGGTGGCGGAGGGCTGCGAGGCACCGGGCGCTGTGGGGCGGCGGGGGCAGCTACGGGGGTCGGTGGGGAGCTGGGGGTTGCTGGGCACCGGGCTCGGCTCCGGGGTCGGTGAGTCGCAGAGGACTGAAGGGCACCAGGGCGGGCGGGGGCGGCGGGGGACGGCAGGGGCCGCGTGGGGCCGCGTGGGACTGGGGGGCCTTCGGGGCGGCCGGACGCGCCCCCTGCGCCCCGGGTGCGCCGCGCGGCCAGGCGGTCCAGGCTGTCGAGGGCGGGAGCTGGGCAGCGATGGTTGAAGAGGGTGAAATAACGGAGTGAGCGGAGCGCTGGCGTCTTGAGGGTGTGCTTCACGACAGCCGATGGGGAGGACGATGGGGAGGACCGGCCCCCGGGGAGGTGAAGCGCTGCCGTGGACCGGGAGCTGGGACCGTGCGCGCGAGCTTGTCCCCTTTGCCCTGGCCGCCAGCCCGGCGTTGGGCAGCAGTGGACACTCGGAACTCAGGTGTCGGCCTGAGTAGCCCGCACCTTTTCTCCGGGCGTTGCTCTCTGCCCGCCACAGTTTAGATTGACTGTGGGGTCGTCGTAGAAATGGTTCTTCCTTAAGCAGATGTTAAAGGAAAATCCACCCTCGGGCTGCATGCCCTTTTCAGGCATTATCCACACCAGCCTTGCTCAAGGGTACAGTAGTGATCAAGACAAGTGGCCTGGGGTCTGGAGGAAAACTAGAGGGATGAACAGTTACAATGCAGTGTGAGAAGCCCAGCTTAAGAGGTGGGAGACCCCCCTAAAATTATCCCTCTTATTTCTCCTGTGGTTTTTTTCTTAGGGCTGAAGGTCCCAATTAAAAAGTGATAACACGTGGGAGATTTTATCGGGAAGTACTTGTCAGTGTCTTCTGAGGAAAATTCGCGACAATTCAAAGAGCAGCAGATATTTGAGCAGTTAGAATTGCAATTTGGGAGACAGGTTCAGGCAGAAACCCAAAGTGTGCTCTGAAGAAGATAAGAGGAGGCAAGGGTTTATAAAGGCAGAAAGAGATCAATTACACGGGGGGTTTGCAAAATTTGTGATTGGTGCTGGCAACAACTGCTACTTCTTAGCTAGACTGAATGGTTTCGAAGGCCATCTATAGGGCAAAAAGTTACCTATGAGAAGCATGTTTCTCGAAAGAAGGTTAAGATGACAGCAGTGAAGCACAGGTCAAAAGTTACATTCCATGTGGGTAGAGATGTGTGTGTCTGAGCCCCATGTCCTTCATGGCCTCGCAGCCCCATTTTAGCAGCCTTGACATGGTTACTCCATTTTGTTATCCCCATCCCCATTTTCCCCTTTTGCTCAAGATCTTTCTGCAGAAAGCACCACAGATCAACTGTTTGATATATTGATATTTCCTTCGTTGCCAGGAAGGCTCATTCCTAGGACGTCATATCTGTCTTAGGGGTTTAGAGCAAGGTGTACAGTAGGAGTAATGCTATCAGAGGCTCTGGCCGCATCTGAGCAATGAGGCAGTCAGAAAATGAGTCTTAGGCATAGTCTCTAGCTGGAAAAAGTATCAAGTCCTTTATTCGGAGGATCCTCTCAAGGTTGGTGGATCATTTCAAGTCGCTGAGCAATCGTTATTCTGGAGGTAGGGACAGGCATGCAGCATCAAGAAGTGCGAATCATTAGCAGTTTAAAGGTGGCAAAGATTGAACAAAGCAGAACAATAATCCTTAGTAAGGCTTAGAACCCTGATCTCAAAGGAGCTCTGAGGCCAGAGGGTAACTGACCAAACAGGTCAGAGTGTTCTGGGAGGCAGCAGTATGATCTGTATGGCTGAGGAGTTTGATATTATCTTTTATGACCTTCAGCTCTTGTTTTATGTGGCCAGAGCGATTTATGTAGGAGCAACATTCTTCTCCCAGGAATGCACAAGTGCCCCCTTTTTGAGCAGTTAGGATGTCAAGAGCCCTTTGGTTGTCTGATGCAATCCCCCTGGGGGAATCCAGGGATCGTTGTTGAGCCAGTGCTCAAGTCTAGAATTTGCCAAGATAGCTGTGGTTGGGGATAAAATTTTTGTCAACAGGTGATCATGGAAAACATCAATCCAAGGGACAGAGCCTTTGGCAATGGTAATCAGTGGAGAGTAGATGGGGTGTAAAAACGGGTTGCCAAGTTTCGCCTAGATCTATGAGATTGTGATTGGGTTTATTCTTTAACAAGAAGTTGAAATGGAATATTCTGATATCCTAAAAGGTGTTTTGTGTCATATACCAGGTGTCTAGACATTCGTAAGTCCATGGTTCCTTGTAGTAATCACACACAAAGGTGAACCCAAAAGGGGGCACATAGTATGCAGTGCCTTCTAGTTCTATAGTGGTGGCAGTGGTCAGGAGCGCTTGGTAAGGTCCTTTCCAAATGGGGCTCCAGGGCTGCCTCTGAGGATGCTTCCAGAATACCTAGTACCAGGCTCTAGACTGACTAACAGGATCCTCTAAATTGGAATCTGGGAAAGCGTCTTTAACCTGCTGATGATGGATTTCAGTATAAGTCATTAGAGACTCAGAGTAGCTGGTCATACTAGCATAAGACAACAGGGGGTCAGCAGAAGGTTGTTTACCAGTAGACACTGATCTGCTGGTGACTGTCTCATGAGGAGTTAGTCTCTGTTTTCCAAAGAGGGCACTGCGAACAGTCAGCAGGACCAAAGGCAATACCTCAGGCCAGAGGAGTCTAGTCTACAGTATATAACAAAACCTCAAAGGCTCTAACAGGACTAGTATCTAATATTTACAAAGGTGCAAACGTGATTTTTCTCTACAGTTACCCTCATTTTTTTATCAAAGATAATCACAGTAAAACTGATCTGTTTATATTAAAAATTTGACCTGACTATTTATACAAGTGAAAACAAGAACACTCACTGAGTGTTTCTGAATTCTGGAGGGATCAGGTAGGGAGAAAAAGTAAATGTGTCATCCTTGTTCACACCAAATTGTAGATAGCTTAAGAGAAAAAGTTTCTTTAAATCTGGAAAAACAAAACATTAGAGCATCTTTCTCAGCTCATGTAGTCTCGTGTAATTTAATATTTCTTCTGCTTGAGTCCAGTTTTTCCATTCGTTTTCTCGACTTTGCCTGATGATTGAGGATAGTAGGAACAGTGATAATTCCAAGAAGTTTGACAAGTTTTTGTTAAGGTTTGTATGATATGCCCAGTGAAGTGGATGCCTTAATCCCTGGAGATTGGAAGGTATACCCCAAGTGGGAAATACATTCCCTAACAGTTTCTTTGCTGCTGTGAGGGCATCAGCTGTGTGGCAAGGGAGGGCTTGACGCCATCTGGAAAACATGCATACCATAGCAAGAACAGAATGATAACCCATACTAAGTGGCAGTTGAATGAAACTCAGCTGCAGGTGCTCAAACGACCCAGAGGGAGGAGTTCTGAGGCCCCTGGGGACAGAATTCTTTTTCTGGAATGTAAAAATGAAAAAAATGGGGTTTGCCAGGGAGTGGGAAGAACCAAGCAGCCATCTTGGGTTTCCGAGAGCCCCAACTGTTTGTTTAATTTACAGCCATTGTTTTCCCACCTTAATTTCTCTGATTCTGGAGCAGACTGTTGCCGTGTTACGAGGACATCAGGATGACAAAACTCTGGTAATGAGAGGTCAACTTTTTTTTTCTTTTTTTTGGCAAGAGAAGCAGTGGACTTCATCCACGTGTGTCATAACCTTTAGATTCTGTTGTTGCTGCCTTTGCAGGAAAGTCAGCTAAGGAGCTTTGATATCCAGCGTGAGCCTTAATTTTGATGACAGACAACATTTTACACCAGGACATGTTAGACTTCCAAGATTTTTACATAATTTCTGGAACTATTATAACATATACTTATAAAGATTTAGCATAAAGAGGGCTTAATGTTATTTCTTATTTGAAAATGCTTCCCATGTAACTTAACATCAGATAGGCCTAATGAGTTTAATATCTTTCAGGTCTCAAAATGAAGACTTTATTTAGAATTTTATTTTTGGAAAGTTTTTCAAAAAATATCAAAAAAGTTTTAAAACATTCAATCAAAAAGGATCACAGATTTTTATGAAACAGTACTTAATTATCGATTTAACCAAAGTGACAGAGATTTTTAAGGCAAACACAAAGTTACATAGTTCTGAGCAAAACCCAGCGTTTCTAAATAATCAAAGACTTGGTAAAGACAAAACACGGAATCTTTGTTTCCTAGGCGGGATACATTCAAGATACAAAATCTGTCTTTACAATTTCTTAGTAAGAGCAGACCAGTAATCAGAAGACTTTGTCCTTTAATATAGAGAAAAACCGAATTGTAACTTTGGACCAGTGTACTTTTAATATTAAAATTCATTTTTAAATAAATTAATTTTAATTTTAGCCAACTTGACTACACATCAAAATTTCTTTTTAAAGGTTCCTTTTTCACAAACCTACAACTTTCTATATCTATTTCCTATGTCTATTTACTTTCTATATTTATCTATTTATATCTTATCTTTTTCTTTCTTATTTTGAAACAATCATTTTAGGACAAAATTACTTTCTTGTTTTCATTTAACAAAAACACATCTTCATTCTTCATACCTTCTCTTACGGAAAAATCATATCCTACTTTCCTTGTGTACTTTTCATATATAATCATTTTCTTCATTTCAAAAACTTAACAAAG